GGCGTAGGGCTTTGGGCTTTAGAGCTTAGGGGGGTACCCCGCATGGGCATGGGCTTCTCCACTGTATGCTTTGGAGTTCCGGCTCAAAGGCCAGATATCTCAAGAACTTCGGGGGTCAGAGTGCTCTTACATTGCAGTGTTGCTTGGCTGAGGGACATGGTGGGTGCAGCAAGGGCCGGAGTTCAAGAGCCTTTCAATCTTGCCAGCCTCCAGAGATGCAATATAGCATATGCCGGGCTACATGATATACTGGCGACTACGTTGTGCAAAGTTCGACCTTGCTGCTTGGCTTGGCCGCGACATGTTCATGGTTCCGTGTGGGCACAGCCTTAAGTCTCGTCGTCATGGGGAGCCAAACCCCACACTTCATGAGGCGTGGCTGAGCATGTCTGCACTTGTCACATTGGGCGTCGGTTGCTGCAAGCCTTGATGTGGCAGTGGCCGAGCGAAAGAGAGTAAAGACTGACAGGTGTCGTAGGGTCTAGAGTCAAGGGTTTAACATCGAAGCCGGAATAATTGCCACTACTATGCCCTAAAGTTCCTTATTCTAGAGTTCTTCGTATACTATAGTCTACCCCAAAACCCTGTCAAAAATATTCAGGCCCCTGTATCAGGGTGATAGGTGCTGTGCGGAGGGGTTCAAGCTTGCAATCCTTCCCACTGGGCTTTTTGAAATGAACGAAGTCATTAAGGTACCATAATGGGGATCTATAGTAAAACACGGGATTTCCAAGTTTTAGCAATGAAAGCAGAATTTCTGAAGAAGAACCGCTTCAACCCCTCCGACTTCTGTGGAAAACTCGTGTCGGCTCAGGGCTTGGGGGTAAAGGGTTTAGGGTTTAGGGTTTAGGGTTTAGGGCTTAGGGTTTAGGGTTTAGGGTTTAGGGTTTAGGGTTTAGGGTTTAGGGTTTAGGTAAACTGGTGCGTCCTCGCTATGGGGTGCAGTTCTCATTGGCTCCTTACATGTATGTGGGCAGCTCTCTAGACTGATAATTATAAGGTCCCTTTTGGGGTCCTTCTTATGCGGTGCGTGCTATTTGGTGGACCTACAAAGGGACCCTAATTTAGAGAACTAGGTTTTGGGGTTTAGGGTACCAGGCAAGGTAAACTAGGAAACCGACCATGAAAGTGCACAGCATATTGGTCTCCAGAAACGGTAAAAAGACCTCCCTATAAGAGTCATACCGTAGTCTACCCCAAACCCCTAACGATTTTGACCCGTACATTTTCTGGCCAATTATATAAAGCTTAGTCTTACCTGAAGTGTCCAAGTGTTGAATAATCATATACTCTCCCAAATGGTAACCTACATAACTACTATCCGAAACCAGAGACCCTGAAAGGAACCCTGAATTCGGGACTGCCAAAATAACAAAAAACTGAAGAGAACCCAAAGCCGAACAAAAGCCTCTTTAGCCCTAAAGTCCCGAATCCTCCGTATAAACCCCCTCAGCCCCTGTGCCCCAAACCCTCATCCTTAAACCCCAAAACCCTGAACCGTAAACCCTTATAGCCCTAAACCCTCATCCCTAAACCGAAACCCCTCCAAACCCTAAACCCTAAACCCCATAACCTCTAGAGCCCTAAACCCTAAACCCTATACCCCTAAACTCTACACAAAAAGATCCGAGATCCCCAGAGGCTAAGCCCTGGAAGCCTGGCGCAAGACGTATTCGTCATGCATCGTCCCGTTCACGAGCAAATCCGGAGCCTCCCCAGAAGATTTTGGGGTTCCTTAGTTAGGGCTTATACCTGGACCCCAAAAGTCTGTAGGATAATAACCCTTTTCCGGATTCCTCACTCTGGCTGTCACGGTTTAGGGCTTAGGGTTTTGGGTTTAGGCTTTAGGCTGGCTTCCGGCTACCCCTGAACGTCCATGTACCCCCAACTAGTAGCCTAAACCCGAAACCCATAAACCCTAACGAGTATGTTAACTTTGGCCCCAACCGTACCTATAGAAATATAAGGACTACTTTAGCCAAAGTGTACTATTCGGGTACATGGGCGGACCCTCAGGCGATCTCACTTCTCTACCTGTTTGTTGATACCCATGAACCTTCCAGCAACGGCTTGCGTTTCGCGACCCTAAACCCTAAACCCAAAACCCTGACAAAGGTTCAAAGGTGTGAGCTTCGGCGAGAATGCCTGGGGGGCTGGTTCTTTCAACTAGGGTCGCTTTAGGTGGTAGTAGTAGCTTTGCAAGGCTTGAAACCCGAATTGCGGTTTAGGGTTTAGGGATGCAGAGCCCCTCGACCCAAAAAAATTCTGCCCTACACAAAACGTTCTGATAATCTGTTTAAGCTCTTATTATGGTTGGTTGGCGGCCAAAAATGACAAAGCTCACAAAATCCATAACCCTTCGACTACCCTCATTCATAAAACCCCACACGAGTCAGAACCCGACTGAGAGCCGGCCATCTGGAAGTCTCGCATGCACATGAAGCGTGTCGCGACGTACCTCGTGGAGTGGAGCGCCTACACTGCCGCTGATATGTTTTGGGAATATCGGGCAGGATGAGCGTTTCGAGTCTAGGCTTTGTATAGTTCTGCATATGACGTAAAACATAATCCTGAAGTAAGGTTGTTGAGCTTTCTGGCTAATAGTGTGGAGGTGTTCGCGTCGTGATGGTGTGCAAACAGCCACAGAATCAACTGCTGGACATCCCACTTGAACTGTCAATGCCTCAACAAAAATCTAAACCCCAAGTGCTATTTAAACCTGACCCCAAATCGAAACTGCCCACGAACCCATATACCCTGAATCCGAACGTGTCTAGCGGAGAGTCGTTGAGGCCTGCCGTACAGAAACTGCTTCAGGCTGACAGGCCCATGCCTAGTTTCGTTTCCAGGACCCTCCAAGTACCCTCAAATAGGGGTAAAGGGTCCCAAACTAAGGGTATTTAGGGTCTCATAGAGGGTAGAGGGAGGGTCTAGGTTTGTTGCTCTTCAAGCTAAGCCTAGGAGTGAGGATGAGGGGACCCTTTGGGGATATAGACCTAATTAAGAGAGCCAGATGTAACAAGGGTCCCCTTTAAGGAGTTTCCCTCATACTACTTAGGAAACTCTGAACCCCAAGCCCTGATCCCCACCGATCTTCTTTCCACCGTCTTCGACATGGCACCGCCCTGACTCGTGACACCCCTGAACCTCAACAGCCCTAAACCCGCGAAATACGTTTCCAAAAAACCGAAGAGGAACACTCAAACCCACATCCTATAATTCCTATAACCATCTCTTACAGCGGAGACCCCTCCCATAATAGCGATCAAGTAGTCCGTAGAATAGTCACCCGCTGTGCTGAGACGGCGCACGCACGCGAGAGGATTGTGATGGGATGAGTGCTGACGTTGACCACGCCCACCATGGCCTTCCAAGGATGAATGTAGGGGCCTTAAAAAAATTAGACTAGGGTGTTGGGGGTTCCTAATTATCATAATATACCCCCAAACCCTACTCTGATTCTTAAGGCCCCTATATTCGGGTTTCGGGTGTACCGGTTATAGGGCCAGGGTTCGGGGGTTAGGGTTTCAGAGGCCCGGAGTTGGTCGTGGTAGCCTACCAATCTACGGTCTCGTAAACCAAAATGTACTGTCCGGCTACATGAAAAGAAAAGAAGTTAACTGGCACGAACCCCGCATTGCGGAGGTTGATACCTTACAAACCCTGAGCCCGTAGATTTCCTATAACCCTAAAGCCTAAGCCCTAAACTCCAAAACCGTGGTTGAGGGTTTAGGGTATAGGGTTTAGGGTTTTACTAAAGCCCCATGCCCTATGCAACAAAAATCCATCAACATCCTAAACCCCGGAACTCCGAAACTCCAAACTTTAAACAGAAATCCCTAGACAATCAGCCCCAGGCCTACACAGATGCAGCCCCTAATATGCCCTCACACCCCCTTCACACCCCAACCTCGGGCTCAGAAGCCGATCGGACACGGAACCTGATGAACAGTAAAGGTGACCATGCTTCAAATCCGACACGGAATTTTATGGAGGTAAGTATACTGCTTGGACTTAGTTTGTCAAAGCACACACTACCAGATTTTCAAGTCAAGACACTACGGAGACCCCCACGCCCTAACAACACTGCAAAGACGCAGCCTCGCCGTCGCTGTTGACGGTCTTGTTGGCATTGAGGGCCTGGACCTCAATGTGGTTACAGGCTCAGGGTCTATATTGGGAGTTAGGCTTAGGGGGATATAGACCCTCTCAATAAGGTCCGTCTAAGAGAGCCAGAAGTAGAGGTAAGAAGGGTCCCCGCTAAGGGGTCTCCCTAACACTACCTAATATATGGGAGTTCAGGGCCCGGGCCTTCAGGGCTTGTGGGCATCACCTCTCAAACCCTCGGAAATCAAAGCAGGGGCTTGCGGCAACAAGGTCGCCAACACGCTAATCCCCGAAACATATTTGTGTACTGCTTGCAAATTTCTTCTGATGCATCCGCAGGATGAAGATCAGTTGAACCCGTTCAAGCCCCGATGTTGGATTGCTTCGATTCTTTGCGACTCATGGTTTTGGTGGTGCGTACAGCCCTCAAAGACACCACAGCTTGAAATGATTGGCCCCTTCATACTAAAATGTAAAAGAATGGCAGTCGCGGAGGCATGCCTTCCTCATCTTTTCCATGGCCACAAGTCTGCAGTACCCCAAGTACCCGAAGGCTACGGGAGCTATGGTATGTTGCGCAAACCTTAGGCCCTGGACCTTTGCAATGGATCATGCAGGGGCCTTAACCACAAAGCCTTTACCAGGTATGTATGCTGCACATGTAGCTTCCTGAATTTGGGGTTTAGGGCCTACAGGGTATATGCCAAATGCTAGACACATAGTGTCTAAAGGGTAGGATTCAGGGTACATACTCGGACCTGCAACTGATCCCAATATCCCACAAATCCTAAACTAAACCCTGCATTGTAGACACTGCAGGGAACCCCTTACAGGAATGTTGATGGGGTACCCTAAACCACAAAACCCTAAACCCTAAACCACAGCTCAGGTGCGTGAGAGATCATCAGGCGCAAAGTGAGGCGGTTGGTGAAGAACTCATCGAGGGAGCGCTCGATGTCCTTCGTTAAGTTCTGTTTTAAGTAGGTTGTAGATTCGGGTTTAGGGTTTAGGGTTTAGTGTTTGGGGTTTAGGGATCTGTGTTAATGCTAAGTAGGCTGAGATTCGGGTTTCTATGAGGAGTTGATAAGGGTTATCGTAGGGTTGGCTGCTAGGGGTTATAGTAAGGTAACTGTTAAGAAGGTTGTGTCTTGCTCTTCCTATGAGGAGTCTATGGTATAGAAGTTGAACGGAAACTGCCTGAATACCAACCTTGTTGAAGACTTTACAGGAATCCTGCTGGGTGCCAAACTAATAAAACACGTGTTATACGGTTGGTGATGTAAATCCTGCATTCCCTTAATAACTTAAGGACCCTAAACTATGGGAATTATGGCATATTCCTTATTATGGGTAAAGCAGAATTTATATCATCAACCGTAGTTGAAGGTTGGGCTCAAGGTCAACCAGACTTCGGCAGGACGGGGATCTTGGACAAAACTACTCCTGGCTCCCGACTCCCAGCTAGCAAACAAACCCTCGGCCTACACGCCTAACCTTCATCACCAACCCTACCTAATTCCCGAGTAATCCCTGAACCTTTTATTGAAATTTCCACTCCCTGGAAGCCCAAAGACTCTAGGTGCTAATCCCTAAAAGCAAATGCCTATATAGACCCTGCACCAGAAGGACCCACGTCTCATCCAAACCTAATAATGTAGAAGCCCAAAAGTTGGAAACCCAGTCGCCACAATCCTGAAGCGTCGTATATAGGGAATCTCAGCACTGATTGTCCTTATTCCGGTTTCCAACTTTCTTGGGGTTTTACTATAATGGAACTAAACCCTAAATCCCAAACCCCCTCAACCGTCTCCTGAATGAGATCGAGATGACGCAACTCGGCCAACTCTAGGTCAGGGCCGAAGAGCTTGTTCAAATCCTGGTATTTTTAGGGGCCATGGGTTTAGGGCTTAGGGTTTAAAGTTTCGGATTTAGATTTAGGCTTTAGAGGTTTGGGTTTGGCCATGATACATAGACCAGGGTTTTGGGGTACCGGGATCAGAACAGGTAGTTATACGAGCTCGAGACAGCCTGCTTCCAACATCACGGGGGCCAGAAAGTAGGTTCTTGATAAGGGTAAAATAAGGTAATCTAAATCAGGGTCCTTTGGGCAGCTGAATTCCTGATGATTGGGCTACCCTGAATCATGTTGGGATACCCTTATATGACTTATAAAGTATATTCCTGGATCGAGGGGTTTGGGATGGTCCAATGGCCTTGGAGCTCTGGATCTACGGGACGGGAACTTCACTCAATGCATTGAACTGCATGGAAGCACTCCACCCCGAATTCAAACGCGAGCCCCAAACTTCCAAAAAAAAAGGGACGTCCTCGTTGAACTCGAACACTCCTTTGGCTACATCCAGCCTGGGCAGTCTCAGGGGACCTAAACCCGGAAAACAATTGTGGAGCCCTCCTGAGTTTTCTGTAAGTTATATACGGCCATATACAGTCCACAGAGCTTTGCAAGAGTTCGGGTCGTTTACAGTTAAGTCTCATGGCGATCTATGGTTGTCTTGCAAAGTTTTGTGCAGCTTACAGGTGCCTATGAGCTTTATGCCGCTTTATGATGTCTTCGACCGGATGTTATTCGGTGTTCCACAGGGTTTTCTGAACAGTTGCAGGCTTAAGCAACCCAACTTACTAAACCCCCTAGGTCCTGTACTGCAACAGAAATCTTGAACCACAACCCAACCCTTGTAAACCTGGAAAACTACACTTCAAATCTCAAAGTCCAAACGGTCCCAAACAAACTCCTCAGAGCCGAACCAGCTTGTGTTAGGTTTATGGTTTAGGGGCTTAGGTGCCTTGCTTCAGCCAAGTCGCATTGTACCCCGGTGCTGATTGAAAATCCCGTTCGTCAGCGCGTGGTATTCCTGCGGAGCATGCATTCCAAAAGTCCCAGCCATAAAGAATTATAAGCCATAAACATATGAATTTGAAAATCCTTAACCAAAGGCTTGTATACTGTGCACTGTTGCGGGGCCGTTCTGAGCAATCGAAAGCCTAAACTCAGCCTAAACCTTAAGCCTTGAGCCCGGACGCGAAACCCTAGACATGGCTGCCCGAATACATTAGGGGTTTAGGGTTTAGGGTTTAGGGACTGCGACACTGAACGAAGTGTGCCCCAAAAGCCTATGGCAACTGTTCAGGCCCCTAAGCGCCAGCAAAAATACCAAACTCATTCTATAGAGCCTCAACATGAAGAACCCTTGTGCTCAAGAACCGCCTCCACCCCTCAAACAAGAACCAATTCGATTGATTAAGGCTCCTTTACTGTATATTAAATCCATCCACCTCAGGCATCTGCTGCCGCACCTCCGACCCCAAGCCGCCAAAGCCATGTTTGTCCTCGAAGTCGAGGACCTGCCGGCAGGAAATCCCAACGGTTTAAAGTTTAGGGTTTAGGCGATAATGCTTCTTACCAGGTCCTACTGCCGCCTCAAAACCGAAGAAAACGTTGATCCCGTAGCAAGCTAGGGTGTGTCTCAACACATACAAACATGCTATGAACATAGGAAGACTAAATCTACATTGCTTTTCACTCAGTTGCCCCAGCAGTGTTGCAAAAACTCTTAAGCGTTAGGCCCTTTCGATACGCCACAATCGGCAGCATCCCTGTTTCCCGAGGCTCTATGCCCAGCTTCAGAATTGGCACTGAGCCCAAACTCCAAACCCGCCCCAAACACGCAAAGTCCAGCATGACTCCGCAATCTGGAAAAGCACAACTGCGAGGCCGAAAGTTTGATCTTGAAAAGGTGACACTGGCGAGAAGAAAGCCTGCTTGAAGTTCTGAACGTACCTTCACAGGTTTAGCAGATGCACCACTCCATAGGTTGAGGGTTTAGGGTTTGCACCTCGGCTTTGGAGTGTGGGGCTTCGGGTTTAGGGTTCCTGCATCTGCTTACAAAGTGGGTGGGGAACCAGTACAACACAAAGACACCTAGCCAAATCTGATTCCCTGAAGAACTACAATTACAAAGATCGCCCCCAAGCTCAAGCAGCAACGTCGTAGTCACAAAACGCCAAGCGTCGTATAATAGTGCAGACGAAGGGCTTTGAAGGACATGCAGGCTGTCTAGCTAAGTATAGAACAACAATGCTACTGAAGCCTCAGACTTGTATGTGGGTGGTTGTCACAACTAGGTTCGTTGGGTTCCCAGATCTGTAGGGTGCTGTAGTAAGACGAGCAGAAAGAAAAAAAGGGACTATCATTGTGGACGGCCACCCATTATTATGAAAGAACACCAAAAATGGGAAGTCGGCTCGGAACAAGGCTCGAGATCTGGATTCGATCATGTTGGGAACTCTGAACCGGTAGTTCTTGAGCAGGTTCCTCCCGTAAACCGTGAAATCGATACCTTCCTCACTTAATGAAACCCACCCCGCCTAAGGCTCTGTGCACCTGTAGACTATAGACTTATATAGTGGGAATGTTGGCCTTAAGCAGGTCCTATACGTGCCATGATATACACTATACAGGTGCACGACCCTTACTGTAAACCTTCAACCCGAAACCCTAAACCCCCTTAAACACTGAAAACCCGATGCCGGCAGCACAGACCCCTCGCTTTTGACTTGAAGACTACCGACAGCTGAGAGGAGCGCAGCGCTTGCGCCCTACGACTTTGCGTGCTTTGCTCTGCTGCGGCATCTCGGGCAAAGGGTTTACCTAGGCTTTAAATGTGGTTACAGACTTCCACAAAACATTATGTGTATGTATGTATATATATATATATGTGTATAAGGTTGCAAGAAATAGAAGTGAAGGAATTTTGTCGAGTACGTACATACGTTATACTTCTCGCCATAGAAACGCTCGACCGCGGCGTTCAAAGCACATCGCGGCAGAAGTGCCGCTTCTCCTCGAGGATCCTCTGGGTCACATCTTTCCTCAGTCAAAGGATCGAGACCATACATATATATATATATAATATATATATATATGTATATATATATATATACATAGTTATATAATTAGCTATATAGTTTCCACTCTCGTTCCTGTTTGGGCTGCCTTATAGGATTCCACATAAACTTGGTTAAACGAAAAGAGAGCAACTACAATGGAAACTCTAGGTATAGTACAGACGAGGCCTTCATTCATACACAACATTACTGCTTTCTCAGACCTCGATATGTTATAATAAGACCACGACGAACATAGCGACTTCTCCTGCTGCTGCGATTGCGCCGAGGCGCGGACGTGATTGAACACCATCGGATGAACAACCCTAATCTGATGTAAACCTCGCACTTCACAAGATCCCTTGCCCCCAAAACAAATATGCAACACACAAACACAAACGAATAGTGGGCGCCCTATAGTCTCCAAGACCCCCCCCCCATGTTGCGCCGAAGAGCACCCGGCTGAGGAGCACTGGCTGCTCTGCGGCAGGGAAGCGCTGCACAGCCGGGCTCCACTTGTCCGGGTGCCAGCGGAGCACCTGAATATAGCGTTCCTTAAAGGGGTTCCCTTTAGTGTTCTATATATGGGGCACCATAAGGGTTTAGGGATATTTGGGGTATGAACGATTCCAAAGCTCAGGGTTGAGATACCTCTGGGACGGAAAGGCTCCTGGATGCACAGTGGCTTCTGTCCAGGACATTCCGAGCGGCAAATATTTGGCTTCGAAGCCGAAACATGATTGTCTTTCGATTTCTGTTGGGGTTCGTGTGCTCTTTCGGGTCGGTGTTGAGGGCATTGGGAGTCTTGTCTGTCTCAATCCACAGCAGGCACGAAACGGGAAGTGGAACCACTACTTATGGGTCAGAGTAGTTGGGGTATAGGGATTCAGGGCTTAGAACTTAAGGTTGCGAGTTTAGAGGTTGAGGGCTTTCAACAAAAAGGCAGAACTCAGTGATGAGATACTTGGTTTGCTCAGAAACTGAACAGAACCAGGTTACCCCCGCCTGTAACCCCAAACCCTACAAAATGCAGTCGGTTACGACCCCTTCCTTGTCGGGCATAAATCTCTAAATCATTAGGTTTTTGGATCCGGAGGTGACCTCTAAAGCCTAGGCCGTGACACTTTGCGGTCTCAGATCTGGGGGGCTTGAGAGTCACAAGCGTGGCAGAGCGGTTGCCTTAACATTTTTTTTTGGTAGGGCCCTGTAAATTCCATGGTAGGGCTTAGAACAAGAACCCACACACAAGTAGGTTTTGAATTTTGTTAGGGTTTATTTGGAGAGTGTTAGACCCTATAAACCCTAAAACCTGTGGTGGGGAGGAGACATTTGCAGACTCAAGCGCCACTGTAAAGCCAAGCATGTCTGTTCAGGATTCGGCAAGTTTCTGTCTCGCACATGTAGCTGATACAAGCAATCACGTACGCTAGACGCATCTATCGTCTGGGCCGAACGGATGCAACAAAGAACAAAACAACGAAGTTTTTTGCGAACTTACCTCGACTCAAGAACCATAAGCCGTAAGCCATAAACCGGAACCCTCAACATTGAACTCGAGACCGCTGTTAAGCTGTCTCCTAAAGTAAATCCCAGCATCCGGGTTGTCTGGAGAACGGAGCCGATATGGGGCCCAAAAGACAGCAATATACTCCACGTTTCAGGCCGTGATAATTTGAACAGCAAGGGTTCCTCAACATAATTAGATGATATAATACTCCCCGAACTTGACCCTTAAAGCCCCTAGAACTTGTGTCTCAGCTTCTAGTAAAGGCTCCCTCCTTTCAGGCACATGGGTTTAGGGTGTAGGGCCAAGGAACTGCTGCACGCAACTTCCGTTTTTTCACATCCGGCGGGTCCTTGCGGTTGCAGGACATGCGTAGTGGCTTCGTACTGTGGGGAGCAGCTATGCAGTATAGGGTGGTTTGTTGCTTCCCTCAGGGTCCATGCACACAAAGAGACTAGAAAACGATCTTAAAATAGTGCTTATATCAATACTTTCGGGTCACAGTAAGTAGTACTTGGGTGCATGGGGACCCCAATGCCCTAAACTCTAGACCCTAAGCCCTGATGGTACCCTTAAAGGAACCCTGTAAAGGAACCTATTTGGATGGATCCTTCCAAAGTGATTGCTGGGAAGTTCAGGGAACTACGGTGTCGGACTTGAACTTGGCGGAGGCCTGGGGCTTGGGTTCAAAAGTGGCCTTATCAGTTCCGACAATGAACTGCCCTATATCCAAACCTGTGGCCGGAAAAAACCTATGTCGTTGAAACATTTTTTCAGAAACCATAGCAATAACAAGGAGGCCTCAACATTTACGTTTGCTCGGCTACAGGAAGGGTAAGCATATTCCCTACTTGTCGTTGCAGGGTTAAGCCGGCTCCTCCAGCTATAGCCTGCAAACAGTGGGATCTGCCGCTAAACCCTAAATCCTGCAGCATCCCTAAACCCAAAACCGTAAACTAAAAGTACAGGACTGGGGATGTGCGGCCGCGGTTCAAGGCTTGTTGGAAACTGGATTCTTACGTCGACTGATTTCGAGCCGCTTCCGTACGATGTTTCACGGACATGACTAAATGGGTGTTTCCGCAAATAGGGGACCCTAATATAGCACCCTGAATAGTAGGATCCTTCTAATAGGGCCCAAAAATAAGGTGACCCAAGGTTTCGGAAAGTCTCAAATACAAGAGTTTGAGCAGGCCCGGAGTCACAGCTTGCGACTTGCTCATCCCGGGTCTTCTGGGCATACCTCCCGAAAGCCGCCTTTCTGAAGCCACCGACTCGAAGCTTGTCACCTGAACCCTAAACGTAGGTTCTTGCTCATGCTGGAATATCATCCAAGTCGTCAAAAAAGTTCATAAGGAAAACGACAACGTGTAGTATTCAAGCTTATGTAGTTACACTGCCCACTATGGCAAATTGCAACAGTTGCTTTGCCCTACATACATCCGTAACCTGCAAAACGAAAGCGTTTTTGAAGTCCTTCTGAATATATAATGCCCATAGACCCTAAATCCTACAATTTATGAACAATTTATGAACCCTATAAGTGCAACCTAATTAGACCCCAAAGCACCTAAAGAATTACAGAAGGAAACCACACGAAGAAATCCTAAAACGCGATGTTCTTAAGGGTCCAGGTGAACCTTGAACCTGAAATCTGAGCATTTATTCTAGGGCCCACACGCTCGCCGACATGCCGGACCTAGGCAGGTCTACGGCTCAGGGTTTAGCGTTTGGGGCTTTCGGGTTGAGGGGTTTATTAGTGCTTAGGGGTTTAGGGTTAAATAGGGTTCAGGGTATACGGCGTAGGGCATGGAGTATAGAGCATCACGGAAAGTAATACAGCACATTGAGGATCTTACAACCCTACGGGGCAAATGGTTCTTGTAAAACGCTGGGCCTATGTCCCCTCATCGAAATGCAATCAACATCCAATGGGATCCTTCAGGATAGAATTTGAGTAAGGTCTTGGTTTCTGGTATTTCTTATAATTAAATTCAATCTATATAATAAGGAACGGCTAAGATCTGAGAATAGTATAGCAAATATTAGGCCCTATTACCCCCTGGACTCGACGGGTCAGTGAGCTCGGGGTTTGGGGATTTGCTGCTTCGGCTAAGCTCAGCTCGGCATCGGAGAGCTTGGGTTCTGGCGTACCCCCCCAAAACCATGATTGCGATGGTCATTCGGGGATTAATTCCAAAATAGCAACTAGTATATTCATATATCTATATGTATGTATATATATATATAGTATGTGCAACTAGTATATATAGTATATGCACGGTCTGGGTCAGGTGTATGGCGGACAAAAAAGAGCATAAGCTCTCACAGAACCACAGGGAAGCAGTCGATTTTTTCTATCAAACCAACGTGTCACGATGTCGCACGGC